GTAATAGATGTGTTTAGTAGATATGTATGACTAAGACCACTGAAAGGTAAACACAGTGCGGAGATTGCTAGACACCTTAAAGACATTTACAATGAGCATGGTCCACCAAAAATCATACAGCATGACCAAGGAAAGGAGTTCAAAGGTGCTGTAAGAAAACGTATGGGGTCCTTACAAGTGAAAATCATTCAGAGCTCTCCGTACCAACCCCAGAGCCAGGGTAAAGTGGAGAGAAGCCACCGTGTCCTAAGGAAAAAAATTATGTCTGACTTAGTCCAATATCAAGAAGGAGGAGTGAACTGGGTTAAGCATTTGCCAATCTATGCCAAGATATTGAATGAAGACCCAAAGGAAGTTCTGAGTTGGATGTCCCCTTTTCGGATTTATTATGGAAGACAAAGTCATGCATTGTCCAATCGCTTAACTTCTTCCAAAGAAGATCTTGAAGAACACTGCCCACCAGGCAACAAAACACAGCCCACCCAAAAGCAGAGGCGTTTGTTTGAGGATGAACGAAACAGGATCAGGAAAAGGGCACAAAAAGCAACGCAACGCTGCATACACTGACAGAATCAGTCTGGAAATTTTAGAGTCTCTGTGTACAGGCTAGGTGATAATGTGTTGGTCAGAGTCAAGAGTGGCTATCACAGAGTCTCACAGAAACAATTTGTGATACCAGGTGTTGTTGTGGCAAGAAACCCTAAGTTGCAGAAATACAAGGTTGAGTTTCAAATGCCAAATAGCCCCACTCCAACACAAAAGTGGTTCTCAGTGTCTGATGTGACCAGTGTGACAAGACTAGAAGAAAAGCAGCGCTCAAAGTCTCAGCCCAAATCAGTTCAACAAATGAACCTGCGAATACCTTACTCACATGAGGACAGATTGGAGGAGTTTGAATCCTCAAACCTGAACATTCGCTTTGACCCGATCCCTGATGCCAACTGCCAATTTGCTGCAATTTCTGATCAATTGGCCATTATTGGAATTTTCCATTCTGCAGAAACATTGCGTGAAGAAATAGTTGCCAGCCTAACATTTAATCCATATGGAGTGGGTGGGACACCCCTTTCGGAGTATGTTGAGGGGATATGGGGGGAATATTTAGGAGGATGGCACAACATGGTACATATGGTGACCACCTAACTCTTCAGAGAGCATCCCAGATTTGTAATGTTCAGTTCCTTATTGTGTCGACTCTTGGTTAGGATGCCACCTCTGTAATATCACCATCTGGTGATTACTGTGAAAACCTGCCTCTTTTGGTACTTGGACATTTTGCTGAAGGACAGGGGGACAAATGTAAGTTTAGAAGGACCTATTCTGGCTTACATTCAGGCCATTCAGGAGGCAGAGATGCATAGAGTGTCCCAACCTGCCCCTCTGTCTGACACTGAACTTGGTGCTCTGTCTGATGCCGAGCCTGCCTCTATGCCTGTTGCCAAACCTGCCCTGCCTGATGATGAACCTGGCCTTCTGTCTCAGCCTGAACCAGGGTTTTTACCTAATGCTGATGTTCAGTCTCTACCTAACCCTTTGCTTGACATGGTTGAGGATGCTGGAAATGAGCATGGAGTTCAATACCTACCTTCAAAGATCTTATCAAGAATCATTTAATTTTCTCTCAAGCAAGATATGTCAATGCTTGGGACATTCAATCGAGTCTCACTCTTATTCCGTGAACTGTCAGCAGCATTTCATCCCAACCTATACATAAGAGAATCTCTTGCAGAGAGCCTACAATTGGACTAAGAAGATGACTGTTCCATTAGTATTATGAAGCTCTACAAGGCTGCTGGACGCAGCAGTGGTCTAAGCATACGCATAAAACAGTTATTTGGCAACGACAGAGGATGGATGAAAGCCTGGATTCTTCTTGTTAATGTAACTTTTGGGCAGTACAAAATTAAGGACATGTACTGGAAGAAGTAATGGCTAAAGTTGATGTTTTTCCCTCAGTTCAACTCAACACTTTTTACATTTGTAAATGAGTGTTCATGTTCTGTGTTGTATATTGAGGTTAAGTGCCATATAGTGCCTTATAGTGGCATTCCAGTTGTTTAAATACAGTTTTGAGTTTTAAGTGAGAACTGAATCGTTTTCCCTTGAGAAATGTTTGAAAAAAGTTCAAATTAAAAATGTTTTCCAAGATATAAATGTTTTAAATTCATTTGACAATGCAAGATCCAACAGAGGCACTGACATGAAATTCTGAATGTACATATCTAAGCAAATAAACAAAATTCTAAATATAGATTTTGTACAACAAATATTTTGAAATTGGCTCTTACAACCATATTTAAGGAGAGAGAGTGCTGCATAATACATACCCTTGATGAATGAATATGATGACTATGCCATCCACTATATCTATTTTTGAAGAGCAAACTGCACAAAAACTACAAAAAAATATTTTATTTCCAAGAAATGCAATCCTATTTATGTATTATTACATTATCGGCTGCAGTTATTACATTTTAAAGGATTTTTTTAATGCGTAATAACCAGCCAATAACGTAATAACTTATTACATTATTGGCAAAATGTTATTACCTTATTGGCTCAAAAACGTTGTTACATTATTGGTAAGTTATTACGTTATTGGCTTTATTACATTTAAAATGGCCAGAATTATTACGTTATTGGCAGGTATTACATTATTGGCCATTATTACATTATCGGTTGCTACAGACCTTTTGAGGAAACCCTTACAGACATTGTGCTCCAAGATTAGTCCAAACCAGATTTAACCTCTTTATTGTAGGATTTTATTCTCATTCAGTATTGATGACAGGACAAACAAGATGACTTCAGTTCAGCAGTTCATCATCCTCAAATGTGTCCAAATATTTCAAACATTAAGACAAATGTAATCCAGGCTAAGGGTTTATTGTACCAAGTAGATGATTGTGGGTTGTGGACATACAAATTAGTTTGCCTTTTTACCTCGTTTATCCTCTTTGCTCAACCTTCAAGCTCATAAGCTCCATTGTTATTCTTTGCCCCTACTCATCATGTTCTTCGGCAGAATGCAAATCTGTTATCCTCTGGTTCGGCCGCAGTGGGGTTGTTTTTGTGTGTGGTTGTTAGTTGCACTGATGAAAGGACCACCTGTCATCCTCTGGCCCTTTGATTAGATTAGGAAGTCAAAGGGATGACTTGAATTGATATGACGTACACTATGGCCCTAATGCAGTGCTTACTGTGTCATTATCAGAGCTCTGATCTAGAGGTACCGGGCATTACATCTTATATTAATAGAGAGTATGTCCCTCTAGTCCAGATTTGAATGTCAATCATTATTTATAAGAAAGAGAGAATTATATATTTTTATGGATTATGGATATATTAATAAAGTCATCTGGTCCTAGAATGTCTACAATGACTATATCAATAGGAAACCGTGATGTTTGGCCAGTAAATTACGAGGTTTTATCTGTTCTAGATTATTAAAAAAAACAATCAGGTCAGATCTATAATTTAACTAAAATGTTTTAAAAGAAGAAATTAAAACTACACATGAAGATTATAGAAATTGTTACAATAACAACCATTCAATTCAAAAACATGCTGACAATGGCAATGCTAACATACTGTTGTTTAGGAGGTTTTTCTTATATTTGATAATTAGCACTAAGCAAAATGTTTTGTGGAAGTCTGAGCTAAATTTCATAGCAATTCATGTAAAATCATTTTTTTCTATTTCACTGAAAACCACAAATATGGAACTCATGATGGTACAACAGGAAAAATGGGGCCATCGCAAACCATCCATCCATTATTGAGATAAAAGTTGTTCATCAACCAACAGACATTTCCATGCCTAGAGCCACGCAGCTAGCATGGCTTACATCACGCTTGACATTGGAGATATTCTTTTTCCACTTAGAAAATAATTAACAGAAAATTAGACTAAAGCAGTGTTTTTCTGGCATGGCCCCTTTCATAAGCCACTCCACACTTTTAATCAATCATTAACAATGATAGGGGAAGCAACTAATAAAAAAGGATCCCAGTTGAATTTTAGTAAGATAACTGGTCAGAACAATAGCATCAGTAAATCCTTGTTTGTTTATTTTCCCAACATATTATCATATTCATCCCTCCATATTTACTCTAAGTTTTCCCTCTGTTCTTATCCAAGCACCCGCCAAAGTGGCGCTATGCACCAACCCCACCCCACAGTTTTAGAACCACACATAATATTCATTCATAATTATTTGAGAGAGGAAATTTACTAACTGAATGGTTCAAGTTTTTAATTTGAGGTACAAATTATTAATTTGTGTGCATAATGTAAAAGTTAAATTAAATTAAAAAGTAAATTTCTACTCTTGAAACCTTCTGGTCCCTTTATTGTTTCCTTAATCTACAGTACAGCATAGGAGACCTTAAAGGTGGACCTAGCCTGCCCTGGAACATAATAGAGAAAAGAAATGTCCTTTTTAAATATTTAACAGGCATAACCAGGAAAACTTGCTAGTGCATTTAGGCATTTTATGACGTCTTGCATCACGGCTACTTGAGTGAGTGACTATGAATGTAATCCACCCCTGATCAAAATTGGATATGAATGAATACTACAGCTTTGGTCTTGAATGCTAATGTGGTTTTTATCCATTCTCAAGGAAGGTGGCTCATAGTTTTCAAAATTCAGTGTCGTCCATAGAATCAAAAAAAGGCATAGGGTTTTAACTGGGAGGAGGGGTGAAACTGCACTTTTTGTTTTGTGGATGTCTGTGTTATTTGTAGCTATAGAGGCCAAGCTCCCATTCTCATTCTAATTGGAACTGCACCCTCTCTGTTTCTCCCATGGCAGCTCTCGTTCCCAGAGTGAGGACCCAAGTCTCCCAGCCTCACGCTCACAGCCACAGCCACCCAGACAGCTCGAGAGGCAGAGAGAGAGAGAGAGAGAGAGAGAGAGGGGAAGGAGGGAGGGATGGAGGGAGAAAGGGAGGGAGGAGTCTAGTTGTGGAGCTCTATCCCCCTGACTGTGTCTGCTATGTGAGTGGTAGAGCAAGAGAGAGAGAGAGCATGAGAGAGAAAGAGAAGGAGGGAGGGCAAGTGAGGGCTGAAGAGACTGAGAATGGATTGGCAATAAGAAACCGTGCGAGCGAGAGAGAAAGAGTGAGCGTGTGTGTGCTCAGAGTCAGCAGCGAAGACACAGAAAGTCCACAAGCTCACATCAACAAGAGAGCGTGCGAGGCAGAGCTGACCGCCGGCAACTCCGAAGAGTGGCACACAGAGAGGAAGGAGACACAGGGAGAGACAGAGAAGAAGAAGAATCAACAGAAGAAGAGAAGGACTGAAGACAGACTACCAGCTTTCCACTGGTAAAAGGAGACACCACTGAGGGACTGTAGCATCCGTCCCTCGTCCCCCCTCCCCAGCAGCACAGAGGAGCACTGTCTCATCTCGTGCATGTGTTTGTGACTGCCAACTTCAATTTCACACTCGCCCACTGTTTTCCGTAGGTTTTGCCCTCTCCACTCCCCAGTCATGATCCCTTGGGTCCTTCTGCTCCTGTGGATCTCCGGACATGGTAAGTTTTTTCCGGATTAAGTTGCTTATTCATCACATCTCAGTTGCTTGTGATTGCTATGTGACTTGCTGGCTGGGAACTGTGTCTCTGAATCCATCTTGCTGTGATCTGGCTGAGCTTGTCCTACCATCTGTGTTTTTAACCGTTTCTAATATAGCACTCCCATGTGCAATGTAATGTCTGATGCAAAAGAGAAAGAAGCACATTAGAAGAAGAAGGAAATTAAAGGAAAAAGTCTGTGTGGATGTCCTGGGGTTAAGGAGCTACGAATCGTTGCAGCCTGCACTTTTCTCTATCGGTAGTTTATCACGGCTTTCAGACCAGACAAGTTAAATACTTCCTATTCAGGCTTGATATTCCTGTCACACACACAGACACACAAACAAAGCCCTCTAACCCCAGTCCAGTTCAGTCAAGCGTTCACTCCTGAGTCACATTGTTTTGAACTGACAGCCCTTCCCCATTGAGCCCAACTACGGGGGGTCTGGTCAGAAGAAAAGAGAGAGAAAAAGTTAACGGTGAAGTGCTCCAGAGGGCAGACTCATGAGTAAAGCCTGGCAACTCCAGTCCTTTGGACGGTATCTGCTGTTGTTATTTTTATTCCTAGACAGTCTGTTTGTGGACAGAATGAGGATGGATTAGTTGTTTCCCCAGCTTGCCACCAGGTGGTTGTCTTTGGAAAACAATAGAGGTGAGGAAAGCACAGCAGAACTCTACCTCTGTGGTGTTTGGTGCCTGTGTGATGTACGGACGCACGCAGGGCAGAATCAGACAGTGGATGTTTGTCAGCTCTTTGCGTCATGCCTGGCCCGCAGTGAGCACCCTGGTTTACACTCAGTAGGGTCAGGGTCAATGACACAGCTACCACCTCTTTTCAAAGGTTTGACCCCATCATGTTGGACTGCATTCCAAGGAGGGCACTGACAGAATGAATGTGTGTGTGTGTGTGTGTGTGTGTGTGTGTGTGTGTGTGTGTGTGTGTGGTTGCTTGCCAGTGGGAGTTGTAACCTTTCATTGCAAAACAGCCCAGAAAAGGCAATCGAGTCTTTTCCAATCTGAGATCTCAGTTTTTTTCATGTTGATTTGAAACTGAAAGCTCAAAGTCGGTAACACGCCACTGACGCAGCGGCAAACAAATGACACTTGGTAAACCAGATCATTTTCTACAACACTGCATTCAGCTGTTCCACATGTTGATTTATAGACAAAAAAATAAAAAAACACGCACAACACAACAATTTGCTGTGATTATACCCTTCTGACGACTCATTTTTCATGGAGAAAACGTGGAGAAAATAATGATAGCAGGACAATTTAAAACTGACTGGAGTGATGAAGCTTCTGATATCCTCTCAGCACATCCCGCACTTTAAGGGGTGTAGATCCCTTCCAGAGAGGGTGTGAGCTTTACTGTTCTGTTTCTTTATGACTGTGTATGACCTGGGACAATGACACAAGCTGTGTAAGTCGACCCAGAAATTGAAATGAGTCAAGGCAATGGAAGCTTTGTCTCTGGGTCACGGCTTTTGTTGCGAGGCAGTTATGGTACATCAGACATGGCACTGTAGATGCTTTAACTGTTCCTGATGTCGCTGCTTTGCTGTGTTCTGTTTCATTGTCAAGTCTTTCTGCACCATCTGTGCTTACCGTGATGCAGAAATACATGATCAGTCATTAGTCTCTTCTTCTCTATCCTGTTTAGCACCTGCTAGGTTCTACTGTATCTCTTCTGCCCTGTATAGCATTTCCATTTCTTGCAAGTGTAGAGAATGAATAACATCTTAATTATATTAGACATTAAAACTGCAAAGGGGGTTTAACATGCAACGCACTTTGTTTTGCACTTTTATTCTGTCACCATCACATTTTCATTCACATACCATCACAGGCTTAGCCACAGCTCTAAGAACAACCAACACCATATGTCAGATAGTACCAGCTGGAATGAGGCGATTGCTACAACCGGAATGGGATGGGATTGCTGTGCATTTCAGCGCAGTAGGTTATTACCATAATATAAAATACTACTTTCCCTGCCAGGTAAACAGGGGATAACAACCTACCTTCTCTATGCATGCCTCTGGGGAGAAAAAAGTGCTTCCCTGTAGCTTACTGTTGTTCTACAAATTACGGCTCTGTTTATGTGCCGAGCCAGTGTCAGCAGAAAGCTGCCGGAAAACAATCTTGTTTTTATGAACAGGGGGACAGAGGGGAGTTGTGGCCATAGCTGACATATACTTAGACACAGATATCCTGTGAGAAAGTAAGAGACAAAGAGAGCGTGAAAATGAGAGAATGAGCGGGAGAGAAGCAGGGAGAAGAGTCCACATGCAGAGAGCCACTGAGCAGTTTTTTTTCTCTGAACTTTGAGAAATAAATGGTCCAGATCGAGCAAGATGGCGAGTGAGAAAAAGGAGAAGGAAAGCTTCTTGCAAGATACTTTCCATCCTGACTGTGGTGTTGCCGCATCTAGGGCACCTTTTCTTTCGCTGTCACCTCTCCTGCCAGTGACAGATGACACAGCACCAGTCAGGAGGATCTGGGAGACACTCTCAGGGAGCACATTCACCTCGGGCCAAACTTGTCCAGGACCTCGTCCATCTCCTCACACCACCTCCTCCCCATTCCTCCTCACATCCAATCTTTAGGGTGTCCAACGTCTCGCACATTCTTCATTTGGCTCTTGGTCTCTTGATTTCACTCCTCACCTCTCACCTTGCAGCTGTACATTTTTCCATCTCTGGCTAACCGTCCCCCTCTTCTTCTGTTGTTTTATTTTGCTGTGAGATGCAGTGTGATTGAGAACCCTAGCCTCTGTCGGGGAAGGGTGAAATATGTGAGAGCATGATGTCTCTCTGGAGGAGGGGCAGTTTAAGAATAGTCTTGTACTGGATGTGCCAGGCTCTGAAGAAAATGTGCTAGAGAAAAATCACACATTCTCAATGTTAAGTGTATGGGCTCTGTCCCCCCCCCCCACCTCTCTTTCTGTGTCTCTCTTTCTCTGTTTTCTCTTTTTCTCTGAATGACACCTTGTGAAATTACTGGGTTTTTGATCTACTTTCTCAGGGAAATAAAATATTCTTCTTGGGCTACCCGTGACTTAGGGTTTGTCCACTAGGGGCAGTGGTGCTGCACAGGAATGGAATCCCAATCTTCTTAAAAATCTACTGCCCCTTTCCCTCCCTCCAATCGCCTTCATTATCTTCCACCCCCTCATATATCTGGTGTCAGAACTCCCGATTTCAGCACCCAGCCAGACTAAGCTGTTTCTTAGTCCTGGAAAGCATGTCTTAGTACCCCCAACAGCCTCTATTTCATTTACTGCTGTCTATTAACTGCTGTCTGACGACTCTAAATCCGCTTTTCATGGGCGGCAGGCTTTGATACATATTTCTCAACCAAAGTATAATTAAATGTCTTTCCAATGTCATGTCTGGATGTGTGGATTTTTTATAGACAGAGAAATCATTCTCCCTTCTCCAAAGGGAAAAAGAGAGAGAGAAATACAGCCCATTACATTGCACTACTCAGAACAGAAATACCAATTTCCAGCCTCATTATTATGAATAGTTATTTGTAAGCAAAAGACACTGATGTCTAATGCACAGATTATGACCATAATGACTCAGAGGTAATTAATTGATTTATTCCCATTCTATCAGAATGCTAAAACCAATATACATTTTTCTTACACAGAATAGATGCTAAATACATTGTTGTCTATATTCTGATGGGAGTCTGGTACAGGACAATTAATATGCATGGTAAGAAACACAGATGTGTTCTTGTACTGTTTGTATGACTAACCCACACATGACAGTTGGCTAACCCTGTCTGGATCATGCCATGCAAACACAGTGAGTGACAGATGATGTCATCAGTTCATAATGGAGCCCCAATGACATGCAGTTTGTTTTCTTGTTTGTGCTGCATGTCCCATCAAGGCTAGCCAGCTTAAGTCACCTCAGCCGCTGTGACCCCTGCTCATTTCTGTGCCACGATAGATTAAGCCCACTGTAATCCCTCTGAGCCGAGTGCCCTGTTGGATATTTATGGTAATAAGTAAACATATGAATAAATAATCTAAGAGGCTGCCGCTGGACAGCTGGAACATGTAAGTCCCAATGTTTGGCAGTGGTTGTGGCATTAACCAGAGATGCTTTTTCCAAGAATAATCAGTTTTGGCTCAAGACTTCTACTCGGTTGATGCCCTGTTACGCAAAGAAGGAGATTGGTTGATGACTTTTCAGGCACTAGATAAATGAATATATAAACCAATCAATAAACATAGACATATAGCTACTATTAAAGTGATATGCATGTGTTCATGTAAGAACCAATCTTGCAAATGATCCAGTTGCATGCAGTACCAAAATAAAAATCTGAAATGTAAGTAAGTACAGTATATCCAGTGACTGCAGTTTGGATGAAAGCCTCATTTCCAGTCTGTCAGGATTCAGGTCAGCCAGGGAAGGGAATATGATTAGTTTGGAGTGTTCTTGGAAAACCAGGCAATGATCTGCTTCCCCTCATGCAGTCAGTCAGCCCGTCAACAAAATCAAGCTGTTTACTGTTGGGCTTCATTATCCATCTAGAAGACTCTCTTCCCAGCCCCAACAGTCTTCTTTAGTACCAACCAATCAACCCCCAAGCCCCTCATCTCCTCTCTCTCTCTCTGAGACTCTGCTGCTGGATCTCATTCCTCGGGGATGAATTTATCCAGATTGGAGCACTCAGCAAAAGGGCATTATCCCGGATTACATGTCTGTTGGGCGGCAGTGTTAAGTAATTCAACCAGATGCTGTTGTGATCACTAGGTCACCTGTGAAGGCATGGTTAGCATCTGTACCTCTTCATTCAGCTCCTTATTGTCACATCTCCATCCATCTGAGATGCTATCCTTGGAAGAGCTGAAGAGAGATAGTTGGAGTTGGGCAATGTTTAAGCTTTATTTAAGAATACTGTTAAATGTAGGGAAGTCTGCCGAAGCCCCCGCTTAA